GTTGGAGGGATGAGGTTGCCACTAACCAACCCTGGGTCCTCTTTAGAAGCAGAGACAAGGTCCTGGGGGTCAGATTGCATCTGGGTTTTCATTTCTCCTATAAGATCAATGCTAGATCAAGGGGAGCTAAATTCATAGTAAAATGGAATGAAATGGGACTCGACTCACTGAATATACAGATCACTACAGTCAGAGTAATGGGAATGAACTTCATCTCTGAGCCATAGGTAAGCAGAGCACTCCTTTCCAGAGACTTATTTCCTATATTTGTATGTAGAACATATCATAAATTTCCTATTAGAAAAAGAAACTCAGCAGCTTTTGAAACCTGGAAGAAGTAGATGAGGTTACTCACAGGTAAAGCAAAAAATACTTTCTCAAACGTCCTGATTGCCCCGTGGCTTCTAGCTCCCTTCTTCCAAGATGAACTTGGGTGCTCAAAATTCCCATACAGGAATGGCTATAGAATTTGTGCAGCCCCTTACTTAGAAAGCAGGGAAAAGTGATATTATGTAATAAAACATAAAATTCTCTTTTAAAAATATTTTCTTATAAAACATAATAGGTTTATAATGTTATAATAAATAACAACATAAATTTACAAATTGCAAAAAAGTATTTTTGGATCATAATTTTACATAATTTCAATAACTAATAATACTTCATTGGTGTCATATCTTGACAATAATAAGATCTTTCTGGCTTTCCTTTCTGCAAATTAATCTATTAGGATATCAAAAATTATACTTTTATGGCACAAAAACAGACACATAGATCAATGGAACAAGATAGAAAGCCCAGACGTAAATCCACATACAATTAATCTACAATAAAGGAGGCAAGAATATACAATGAAGAAAGGACAGTCTCTTCAATAAGTGGTGCTGGGAAAACTGGACAGTTAAATGCAAACAAATGAAATTAGAACATTCACTAATGCCATATACAAAAATAAACTCAAAATGGATTATAAAGTCCTAAATGTAAGACTGGATACTATAAAACTCCTAGAGGAAAACAC